AGCATGTACTTGCCGTCGACGAAGCGGTCGTCGCCCCGCTCCACGAAGCCGTGCTCCGCCTCGCGGACCCGGAGCGCGTAGGACGTCGCGCCGTTGGCGTCGACGTAGGTCGCGGCGACCTCGACGTCCCGAAGGAGCACGGTCCACGTGCTGCTGCCCGAGAACGTGTCCGACGCGTCGGAGCACGTCTCGAAGCGGCCCGCGTCGTCGCGCCGGCCGCCGTACCACTGGGAGCACCAGCTCAGGTAGCCGTTGTAGCAGAAGTACGTCGCGTACTCGACGAAGACGGACGAGCCGTCCGCGACGACGCGCGTCCGGAGGGGCATGTAGTAGCCGTCGTAGGGGCAGTGCTCCCAGGCGCCGCAGGGCGGCGCCGCGTCCTCGAGCCGCCGGCGGTCGGTCGCCACGAAGTGGTCCGGCAGGGCCGGGAGGAGGCCGGGCACGGCGGCGAGGGAACGCTTGCGCGCGATGCGCTCGTCGAGGGCTGCCCGGTCCGCCGCCGCGAGGCTGGCGACGAAGCGCGCCGCGTGGGCGCCCAGCGTCTCCTCGGGCGTTGCCGGTGCCGCCGCCGCAGCTGCGACCGCGACCAGGGCGACAACCCATGCGGGCAGCCTTGGGAGTTCTCCCATGAGCATTGTGGCTTAGGTTCCACGCTTTACACGCATCGCAGTTAACAAGACGCCTACGGCATCTTGCCCCTGCCGGGGGGGCTTGCCTGCGGCGCGGCGAGAGCGCGCCCTTCGGGCGCGCTCGCGCGAGCTGAGCCACTCATTCCCGTGTCAATGCTTCCCTCTGCACCGCTCGCGCGACGACAGCCATTTAATTTTCGTACGGCGGGGGAACCCCCGCGCACAACTCACGCATATATATATGGATGTTCAAAGTTGCATGCTCACTCACTTCAGCTTGCCGTGATATTCAGATATACATGTAAAGCTGGAAAAAAGNCCGGGCTGCCATCGATACATTGTACATCGCAGCATGGCAGCGTTCCGAGCGGCGATCGCGCTG